GACCGTGCTTTGTGATTTTTATTGAAGAGGCAAGAGGCCTATGTTTGGTCTGTAACGATGATGATGATGATGATTGTTTGTTTTATTTAATGTTATAGTCCATGCTGAAAAAATTCGTCACGATAATAATAGTGTACTATAAAATATCAGTTTATTAATAAATAATTTGTTTTTGACACAATTGATTGTACTTGTATTAGAATAATAATAATAAAAATATTTCTATTCTTTTAATCAGTCCAGTGTAAGTCTTATGTACTCATGACTAAATTAAATTATGTATTTAGTCTTAAAAATTGTATGTTAATAAAAACAGAGAGCCCATCACCTCATTTTGTCCCATGGGTGTTATGTTATAACAGATATATCAAATAATCTCATGAGTTCTGTTTAGTCGGCGGTATAACTATCTCGTTTACGCCAGACGTAAAATCCAAATTGACGATGGACAAGCTGTGTCAAAGGTGTTCACGTCTAGATCTATGATTGTCAAGCCACCTGCCAAGCATGACAGGCTCAAGTCCAGCAGTAAACTTTAATAGGCCAATAAAGAAGAAAAAAGTCGCAAAAAACTTGCTGTGCTCTGATAATACAAGTGTTTATTAATGGATTAATTAGCTTTTTGTTTTTCAGAAAAAGGCATTCTTCCAAGAGAATATGCAGAAACTGCCGAAATTTTCCTCTTTTTTGACAAGGTATTCGATTCTGTTAATGGCAGCTACAATAAAGAAAAAACTATATGTAAAGCCTCTTCTTGGACCAGCAAAGCCAAACTCAGAACACAATAACATGAAATTTATAAATAAAATGTCTAATAATCATGAGAGTGTATCAACAATAAAAAAATGGGTATGGACACTACTTGGTGTATAAATTCTTTTGAAAAATTCGAAACTAAGTATGGTATTACTTCTGTTTGGATGCGGCACCTCAACCAAGACCCTATTGAAAACTTTTTTTGAACCATTAGAAGCTATGAGTGCCGCAATGTTAATCCAACACCAGTACATTTTCAGAGTGCCTACACTACACTTTTAATTAACAATATGTCCAGTGTCCATGCCTCAGGAGCTAATTGTGAAAAAGATAATTGTACGGCTTTAGAATCTGTTATCATCATAGATAACTGCAAAGCTGCTGCAACCTGTGTCCTTGAAACAATCCTGGATGTATATATAATTGATATTAAAGAGAACACTGCTCCATATATAAAGGGGGCATTAGATTATGTTAGTGGATACTTTGCTACAAAGAGAATATAATCACTACGTTTAAGAGGCGGGACTTCCATAGTAAAAATAATTGCATGAAATTACGCCAAGTTACTCTACCAACATCAAGATATGACATTTAGTTTTGAGAAACAGTGCTGACAAAATTGACGAATTATAATAGTGCTGTAAATATCTATCCTCGAATAATTTTATCGATATAACCTTTATCGATATATTGTTTATCGATATTTTTACATAAGAAAAGCTAGATCTCTATACTGAATTATTTATGAGAAATAAAATTTTTAACGTGTGGATTGAGTAAAAATGCCGATGAGGATAAGAAATCAATGTATTTTACACACAGCAATTTGTATTTATATCTCTACAATTAGGTACAAAAGTATGTATAAAGAAAATATAAAATAAAAAACGCACTTTTATACTAGTAATTAATTAAGTAAAAAATAGATGACGACTCCGTAGCGCAGTGGCTAAGCGTTTGGCTGCGGCATTGCAGGACCGAGGCTTCCTTCTCGCACTGAACAATTGTTGCTATGCTGTAAAATAAATAGTCTGCGTCTGGATGCTTGTTTTCAACGTTAGGTTTTTTAAGGGTAAAAATATTGGGTTTTTAATACTAATTGGATTAAGTTGTTTTTATGTGTAACAAATACTATGTACAAATCGCTAGGCTTCTTTACAGAGGTACCTATGTACATACTATTTGCAGAGATCGTTTACTAATTGTCGCTTTCAAAATAAGTGCTCATTATAGCTAATGTTTATTGACGAATAAAATAATGATTTAGTTATATAATCTATTTTTTGTCAAAATGTGACTGAGGGATATTATCTTATTATTCATATGCAATGTTTGTCACAAATATGTCTTAACATGTGAATCTTTTCAATAGCTGCATGTGCCAGCTATTTCACCCATTGCTTGCATCTGAAAAAATAATATAAATAAAATCACATTATTATTATTGAACAAATAGAATGTTAGTAGTCAGAATTGACTTGTAGTTCCTAAGTATAGTTCGTTTCGGATTGCCAAACCATCGAACTATCAGATTTAGGAAATAGTGTGTTTGTATTTGTGCACACAATCGTACACTATAAAAACATGTCCTACATAGATGGCTAGTCCAAAAATATACTCGCGTTGAATATCATATTACTATTAAAGTTGATCACCACATACCTTTCATCATCTAAGGGAAATATTGTTACGAATAGCCTTTTCTTGTTATCATTTTTTCCGCTTCTTGCACCATTTAATTGGAAAGTTTTATAATGCATATTTAATTTCTTAACAATTCTGTAAATGAACAACGGCTCCTATAGCAAAATTAAAAGCAATCCTAATTAATAAAATATATACAAATATAATTGTTTGATTTGACATTTGAACCTATTTCATTTGACAATGTCGTTAATAGACTTATCACGAAAAGCAGAAAGAAGAGTAACCGTCATTAAAATTTGACCCCTGTAGTACATATAATTTTTAGTATGGAAGTTGCACCAGCCTGCTTTGCTAGATGTGCTAAAAAATGTTTTTAAAAATTGTAGTGAATGTACTGCTAAAATATTCGCCTTACAAGAAAATGAAATCATTAACTTTTGGGAATATGCAGGTAAACGGTGGCTTTGCAGTCCCACTGAGTCTCTTATAGTGTGTGTATCTGCAGTGAAAGACAACAAATTCAGTATTAAAAATATTTAGGTTATGTTGAAGAATTAATAAAAATCTTGATACTAATTCATGTAGATTTTGATGTTTTGCTATGTAAAATAAAATAGTCTTGCCGCTTTTTCATATTCAATTATGTGTTGTATGTGTCACAATAATGAAGATGTGTTTCAAATGAAAGCCAAAAAATATTTCCACAAATGTATAAAAGACGTTTTATTCAATAAATCACTTAACTTTCTGAAATGAGTTTTTATTTTTACCTCAAAACCTATACTTATTGTAAGAAAAATTTCTTACATTAAGTAAAAAGAAAAAACATAAGGAAACAATAATTTAGTATAGTATAAAATACTATATAGTAGCTATATATACTACGTGTATAGTATAGCTATATGATAAATATAAATTGTTCCATCCGACACCACCAGACGGCAGCACATTCGTGAATTCATTTTTGGGCTTGAGATTCGTCTCTATTTCAGTATATATAAAAGTACTCTGTGGACTAAACGACAAAAATCGGAGATATATCCTATAAGACATAAGTTACAGACGACAATTTTGCTGCTGATGTCCGGTGTATTACTACTACTATTTAAATGTCTTTGGTTGGAACGAAGTTCCTTTCGTAGTATATTATTATTGATAAACGTATTATGTTATTGACTAACAAATACAAATAAATGAATTACTAACGTCTATAGCGTCATTTAAAATAAAATTTATTTCATGGTAAGATAAGAAGTGCGAGGGCGATGGACATTATTCTATCTCGCTCGCACTATAGAAAGGGGGGTGAAGGAAACATCTTACACTTTCTCGCCTAGCCCCCATCCGTCAAATTCGTATCGCGCGATAAGGAACTTCATTCAAAAAAAAACGTGGTTACCAACCAGCCTACTATGCGTGGCAATTATGGCAAAATATAAGAGGTCTATGTGTATGGTCGCCACCACTATTGTGTGACGAAAATCTGAAACATACATACAGTTGATGGAGTGCAGGTGACACAGAACTGTACTTTGTGGCAACGTATGGGGGAAGCCTATGTTCAGCAGTGGAAGTGTGATGAGCTATAATGATGATGGTGAGGACGGTGAACGAAATCCACACTACAATTTTTAATACAATACAATACTCTTTATTGTACACCAAGAAAAGATAAAAATATAAAAAATAAACAACTATTGAGGGAAATACAAAGGGCGGTCTTATTGCTACATAGCAATCTCTTCCAGACAACCCAGAAGAAGAAATAAATAGAAGTAAGAAAAAGAACAATTGGTAGGGTGCACTAAAAAAAAAAACAAAATAAAATAAAGATACAAACTTATGCATTAAAAAGACAACATTCTTCAGGTAGATCAATGACCATATTTAAGCGGAGGAAGTGAGAGGGGTTAGAGAGACAAATAGTATTCTTTAATCTGTTTCTGGAACACATTTAAGGATTGAGCACTTCTAATTGACTGGGGTAAGGAGTTACAAAGTCTTACTCCAAGAACAGAGAATGATTTATCATAATAAGTTGAGGAGTTCAAAGGACATTGGAGGGAAAGATTTTCTTTGGATCGTAAGGAAAAATTATGACAGCTGAGAAATTTAAAACGTTCTTTCTAATAACTACTTTCACGGACATTATCTGTGTACCGACACCCACGGGACATGAAATAGCGGTTTTTTCTTACACGTAGTATGTCTACTAAGTTTGCTTGTGAGTATTTATCTTCCAATAAGCCGTGGTGGCTCAAGAGCTAAGCGCGCGCTGTAAATTTCACAGTACGCGAGCAACCCCGGTTCGATCCCCGCCGACACCAATGAAATTGTTAATTGCAATTTTAAGTGCTGATTTACCACGTGTACGACGGTAAAGGAAAACTTCGTGAGGCAATCGGCATGTCTGAGAAATAAGTAAAAAAAATTTCGAAGAATTCCTTGCCCCAAAAACCCTCTCAACAATGAGAGGCCTGTATCCGGCAGTGAACGTATATATAGGCCGCAACTTTAAATGCTTTGAAAAAACCAATTTAGAATATAATATCTAAATGACGTTGAATAAAATAAAAAGTATAAAAACAAACAATTTATTCCATATAATTCTGTAAAAAGTCTCCCACAACTGGTATATACTGTTTCCTCGTCGCTACTAAGTATGACTGGCTGTAGTAGAGACAGCCGTCACAACCTGCTCCCGGATCTTCAGGTGACAACTGGAACGATGGACTGCTCCAATCCTGGAGGTACTTCGCTAGCTGTGAAATCAAACGAAGTAATGTTTCAATAAGCGCTAATCATTTTTCGCTCACTAGATGTCGCTAGTTGGGACTGACGTTTTTTTTTAAATAGAATAAGGGTGACAAACGAGCACACAGTCCACCTGATGGCAAGTGGATGCTGTGGCCCATAGACGTCTACATCTATCTTCGATTAAGAATCCAAATGTAGATACGTTGTCACCCCCGAGGACTAGGATGGAATGCCTTGTTTCCAGTAAAAAGGGTCTCCAGTTCTCTACATTCACCATAACCAGCCAAAACACAGCTGCATTGAAGTGCTATTTCACGCTAGTATTCTGTAAAAGCGTGGTCCTTCCCAGGCCGAGCCGACCCATTCGTGCTACAATCATAAATAGCTACAGCTTGGCACTACCATGTAAAACATCACCATACATTGATGTCGTGTTTTTTAAGGTTTTCGGTTACTAGTGCATGTACACCACAATGCCTCAGTGCTACGGCCTTTAATTTTTTTTTACACATTTTTAACTCTCTTTTTCATTCTTCTACTTTAAGGTATATACGTAGTTTGCTTTATACATTTCTAATTTAATTATTATAAAAATATAACTTATATTTTCACTTTTCTAACTAAAATTCAACTTGCACACCATGAAATTTATCCGCATATTTCACCTCATTCCAAACTGGCAGAAAAAGTTGTGGAAGCCTTCACTGCCGTGCTGTGGTGATGTGGAAGAATCTATCAAACTTCGTCCCGGGGGTGTCATTATCGTTACAGCCTATAAAAGTCCACTGCTGAACACAGGCCTCCCCCATAGATTGTCGCATAAGAGGATATTTACCAAAGTTGCCGCGCTTGACAAGCGGGTTGCCAACCGCGGTTTTTTATTTTTAGTCTGTATCAGGAAGACGCTGTTGAGCATCTCCTGGTTTGTTTCCCTCTGTCGCCTCTTACGACTCCCATCGGGATGATTTGGGATAGTGGATATTTTTATGGTGTCGTAGTAGGCTATTGGAGAATGTCAGATAAATCTTATGGCTCCCGATAAGTAGCCGTATATATAGCCGCCACTGGACATGGGTGGCCGTATATACTAGACTCAATGACTCCAAGACTTTCTGCCACCAGGGTGGTGCCTAGGCTTGCCAACCGTCCCGGATTTTCCGGGACGTCCCGCTTCTGGGTCAATTTTGTTCTGTGCCGTCGTAACCCCTTGCGGGACGCCTTTTGTCCCGAAAATCAGTGATTATATGATATTAGTATCTATCTTGTACCAACTGTACCTTCACCGTAGCTTCGATACCACTTTCAAATGCATGCAGAGAGTGTTTTCTCTCTGTGGAAATGCATGGACAGACAGCAGAAATAAGCTGTTTGTTGACCAAATCAAGGCTGAACTACAAATTAACATTAATTTTGATCAAAAATGCAGTGAATTTTATAACCAATGTGTTTTTTTTTTCTAACCAATTTGTTTGGATGTGTTGTGTCCCGCGTAATATACCCAAGTCCCGGATGTCGAGCTGAGTAATCCCGGAAATGCCTTTTTTTGAGTTGGCAAGTGGTGCAACTTAAATATTTGACAGACAGCGGAGAAGTTAATTTGTTCGAAAAATGTAAAGGTTAATGTTACTTTCTGTACTATTTGGTGTATTTTATATTAGTTAGACCATGAAGCAAATACAAAGAGACGGCATAAGCAACTGTGCACTGTGATTCTAAGTAAGGCCTGACGTCATCATAGTGGTCGTGGCTTTAGTTAGTATACTGTCAGCATTCGTCCTGTGCGCTTCTGTGTTGAAAATCGCAAGTCGGTGTATTTTCGTAGCATTAAGAGGAAAAGGATGAAGTGTTGTGTTCTATCGTGTAAAAACTACTCAGATAGACGCTCTGATGCTATGGATGGCATCACATTTCATTTGTTAGTAATTTTACACCTAATTTATTAAAATAGTTCTAGAAAAATCTTTACGTCGGCTTTCAAATATAATTAAATATATTCGACACTAGATGGTGACACTTTGTGTCATGTGAACTAAAAATATAAAGGTACTTAGAGCTCAGTATTGGTAAAATAATCATAGGAAGGTGCTGAAATTTGTTTTGCATTCAGACATAAAGAAATTTTAATCGCCAAAATATTATTTTTATAGTTTATAATCATTTTGTGAACAGGCCGCCGTCTATCGTCAAAGTAGCTAAACTACATTGCAACATCGATATGGAACGATTCCAGTAGTTTTAACATCTCTTTGTATTTGCTTCATGAGTTAGACTAAGAATAAATAAACCAAACCATAGATATTCATAAAAGTAGAAAAATTAAAAAAAAAGTTAAAAATGTAAAAAAATTAATGATCATACCACTGAGGCTTTGTTTTGTGTATTAATATAATACTCTATAAAGTGATAAAGTTTTATTTTAAGCCAACTTCTCAATTAAATGATATTGTGTAACAATAAAACTTCACCTCAGTGTCAACTAGCGACACCTTGTGAGCGGAAAATTATTAGCCCTCATTAAGGTAAATGTCAGTTCACCTTATTTGCTTTCTCACTGACTCCAGGTCCATAAACAGCCACATCTCTCTGAAGAGCTGGAGAGAGCGTCATGCCCAAAAGTAGTACAACGCTGCAGTTAAAACGCTGTAGAGCTTCGTTAGCGGCTTGCAGGGCTCCAGGGTTCTTTAGAAATTCCTGGAAGCAATTAAAGATGAGGTTGCATTGAATTGGTGTCGCATTCATAAATTCACCACCCCATTTATATTCAGGGAGTGTTGTACCTCTTACTGGCAACTAGCACAGAAATCTAATGAGCTATGATAGACAGTGTTAAATGTTAATAAACTTGTGGGAAGGATGCTACGAAAATAAAAGGTACTACACTCGTCCAAGTATATAATATATTTTTACTCTCACACAAATACAGTTGGATATACAAGTAAAAAGTAATTAGATGTATGTAAAGATATTTTGAGTTAGGAAGCCGATGATAGGCTAAAGTTAAAGTTACAGCCTATATACAACCCAATACATGGCCATATGTGTAATAAATACTAACAGTGAGTCAACTCCTTTGTTATACCGCAAAATGCCCTACAAGGCTGTCACGACGTCTATTCGCTAAAATATGCAAGGGTTGTCACAAAAACATTTCCTTAGATAATAAAATCATAACATTATATTTCATCTGTATTGCCCGTAATAATTTATTTTTCTATACAAACATACAAATTAACCTGATTCGAGCTGAGTTGATTTACTATTGGTATTTATTGCACATATGGCTTGGCACAGGCTTCCTCTCCATTTCTGAGTTATTGGGCAAGAAAATGTCCGCCGCGTTGCCCCAATGCTTGTTGGCGATCTTCACACGTCTTATTTCTCGGACTTGCAGGTTTCCTGACGATGTTTTCCTTCACCGCCTACCGTGTTGTAAATCAGCTCTTAAAATTGCAATTAACAATTTCATTGGTGCCGGCGGGGATCGAACCCGGATTGCTCGCGTACTGTGTAATTTACAGCGAGCTTTGAGCCCCTGAGCTACCACGGCTCTAGATGGTAGGTTGGCGCGATTAAAATTATCCGTTACTCAGGCGGCGCACGCGTAGCGGCGCGCGCGTTGCGTCTAGCGCTGAGGGCATTTGAATGCGTACTGGCCATAGATAACATATATAGGGGTATAGGGCATAGATGTGCCACTCTGACAAATTATTAGGTGACAAAACGAAGCAAGGTTTTTTCTGCACTGTAATAGATGGCGTTGGGATTATAAATTACCGAAAAATACACTAGAGGGCGCTATCAACTTCAATATAATTTTGGTACATTTAAAAAAATTAAAAGGAAATGTTTTCATTTAAAAACTATCTAATTAGCTGTAAATAACTTTTTATTTAGCATTTTTAAAAGGAGCATGGTTTGACTTGCTTAATACTTAGAGACTTACTACATACCGCAGTATTTCAAAACTTTGATAGCGTGATTTAGTCTTCGGTATAAATAATAAATGGCAGCAGTAGCGCCATCTTTTGAATAAAATGTGTAAACAAGTAAGAAAAGAAAGAAAATGGTGTTTTAATGACAATGAGATGGCGCTAGTATCAACGTAAAAGCAAGCTACTAAGAACTTTCATACCCCTGGTACTGGCCGGGGAAAACGAAAGTGCCCGATCGGCTGCAAAGGCAGTACGAATGGTGCCGAACATTTCCGACCTCAACCGACACGAAAACCGCCGTTCAATAAACATATTCACTAGTGGTAAAATTAAAAATTTTGTACAACCGACTTCAATATAAATTATTAAGGATAACTCAAAAACTACTAGTCTAGAGACCTTGATCAATTTATATGAGACCACATGAGAAGCACCAGCTTTCAATTAAAAAAAGAATCAACGATATCGGTTAACCGAGACAAAAGTTATAAGGTAACACAAGAAAAAATGCAGTTCAATTGAGTACCTACTCCTTTTTGAATTCGGTAGAAAGCCGCATAAATTAGTTATAGTTGTGCACTTAAGCTAATGTTACCTCAACTTAACGGCAGCGCGGTATTTAAAAAAAGTTGAAGGTAGTAGTACCCAATTTCTATTTTACTCACCTTCACTAGTATAGGGAAAGAAGGCACAAGGACATCGCCAACAATCTTCACATCCTTCCTCATCAGTTGTGATGCGGTCAGCGAAGACACATCAGACCTTGCATCTACCAACCTTAACATTTTGGATTTCCTGTAAAAATAGAATATTTTGGATAACACAGAGACCCTTTTTATTTGAAACGAGGAGGCATTATATCTTAGTCCTCATGGGTGCAAACGCATTTGCATTTTGTTTCTTAATTGAGGATAATGTAGACAATAAAAAATAATAATAATATATGTTACGGCCTACGGCTGCTCCCTTACAGGATCGAATCATCAGGGGCCCATGAGCTGAAGACTTCCCGAGCAGACGTAGGTCGGGCTTCAATGTGGCCACGTGGAAATTCCTAATTACATTAAAATATATGGGGGAGCGTTATACTACGGCTAGTCGACCGGAAGGAATTTGGATGAAGCTTACTTACCTATCCAAGGCGACTGGTCCCTCCGGAATCGGTCAGGTCGCATGTGGTTGTGTAGTGCAAGGGAAAGAATGGTGATGTGGTGTGTATCTGGGTGTGACTGATGGTGATTGAACCTAGACCTTGGCCGTCGGCAGCAGCCCGAGCGTCGACACCGCTCCAACTTGAGGGCGCCTTTCGAGGTTGTCCACAGTCACTTTCTTCTTTCGTCACGTTGACAGTCAATTAACTCTATCGTACGATTTACTAACTTACAGAAGCCACTAACTATCGCTGGGTATAATGGTTACCGCACAAAGTTTTAAAAGGTCGCAAGAGTTTAAAGGGTCAAAGGTCACTACCGTTTCGCGTAGCAATAGTTAATTCTAGAATATCAGAGGCCGCACTATCTAATATTGCCGAATGCACTTATGCAGGTTCTGAGTCAGACACAATAAGTCCCGGGAAGCTCTCCAGTAGGAATGCGCGTCACAAATCCTAGACCGTATATTTACGGGCCGCACCTAATTATTCCGACTTCCCTAACAGAATGGACCGCGTGCTCACGTCAGCACCGATTAAAGACGACTGCCTGCCCTTGGGCGTTTTTCGCACGACCGAAAGTCAAACCGGTATGAATGCACCGCGCCGAGCGCCCTCTCGCGTCAATCCTTGAAAGTGTTTTGCGCGAACAAACCCCCGTCCCGGACATAAGGATTTAGGTCCGCGAGCAAACCGGTCAGCGGGACAAGGTCGCGAAGGCAAGTTGCAAGACCGAATTTACAACCAAACTAGGCCACCTTAGGCACCCCATCAGATCTTGCAACCCTAACCAGCGCCTCAAAAAGTAGCCCTAATGTGGCAAGTCGGAGGGTCAGCCTCCACTGGATGCCCCTCCTGGGCATCGCAGCACTTTAACAAGTCCTGTACTGGACAGAAGTCCGACGACCTCTTTCAAAACCTATCTGTGCCCCTACGATTAGTTCCGCAATCCGACCGGATCAGGTCTGCAAACAGCGACGCGACACGAAGCGGCCCCGAGCGGCCTCCTAAGCTTCAGTGCAGAGAGCACCCACAAATTCCACATGAACGTCGTCTGTGGAGAGCCGAACGAAACGCACAGATAGTCCCTAGTATGAATTTTCAACAAGTAGGCCTAGCCAGGCCACCCACCATATTATCATTTACTAAAATAGTGCGGCAGCTGATTTCAATCTGACAATCTCCAAAACTAGCTAGCCTGTTAGACAAGTAGTCCTATGCTCATATTTTAACTAATTTTTCAAAAGCATCAATGTTCAACTACAGAATTAATTCAACCAAATTAATCACCGATGCGCATAGGTCAACTTGCAAATTAAACAAAACAATAACGTAAGGGACAGCCCTACTTCTTCGCAAAGCAAAATGATTAAACACTATCATAAACATAAACATAATTTTTCAAATAGTGCGCCATTCAATTTCAAATGAATTCAAATTTTCCTTTCAGCAAACAGACGCAACAATCAAATACAGTGATTAAATATATGTACAAAACACATGCAGTAGCATTTAAAAGAGTAGATTAAATTCAATTCTTTTAATTTAAACCGCTACAAATAGGAAAATTTCGCGGAAAGCCCAAAGCAATTTTTAATTTTAATTCAAGTATTTTTTGACTAAGTGCTCGACCAAACCAAATCTAATACCCCTTGACAGCGTGATTCAACGCTCCAGAGGGGCCCTAATCTTCCCACCACCAAGGGGAGGCCACATGGCGTGAACCCGAGATCGCTAACAGTCGCCACTCGGGTTGTACGCCTTCACTGAGGCCGTCGGCAACAGAACATTTTGACAAGTGGACTGTTGACGGCTTAAGGCTCAGTCGAGGTGGCCGTGGTGGGAACTAAGGCGGCAGCTAGCCAGGGCCGCCTCCATCAAATGGGGAACAGTGGTACACCAGTCGCGGCCACTCAGCTAACGGGAGTGAGAAGGGTCCAGCGGACCGATGAGTAGCCGTGAAGTTCCTCTCCACACGCTTAGGGGGGGTGATGACACCCCCGCCCCTGGGGGAATTACCCGCCGACTGGTCGGGGGAGGGACCCCTTTCAAACTTAGGGGCCTGATGGCTGGCCGGCGGGCGCCAAGAGTCGCCCGGCAGAGGGCGTGGCTGAGCGCCCCCGCCCGTGGGGGTCGAGGGCCTGGCAGAGCCCCGAGAGGAGACGCCGTTCGCACTCAGGCACAAAACGGCATGATGATTGCCCTGGCAATGCAGACAGGGCCGCCGATGCGGACAGTCTCGCTGGAGGTGTCCTCCCAGACATGAACAGCACCAGCGGCGCTCCTTGGCGATAGTTCGCCTCGCCGAAACCGGCTTACCTAATAATTTCGGGCACGACGTTACCCGGTGATCAGATGCTCGACAATAGGAGCAGGGTGGGGTTGACGACGACTTGCCTGGCGGGTTCAGCCTCTCACTGGGCACGTCTCGTAAGTCGTCAACGGTGCCCGCCGCGTTCTCGATCTGCCGGCACTGCTCCTCCCAAAACCGCAGCAGGTCATAGAAGGGCGGAATATAGGAGGCCTCGTCCCCGCCGTACCTCTCCTCAAAATGGATTCGAAGGTCGAGAGGTAGACGGGACAGCACGATGCGGAGCAACAAAAAAGCCCATTCGCCCACTGGTAAACCCAGCCGCCTCAACGCATTACAGGCCACCAAGACTGGATCCAACAGGTCCCGACGTAGTCTGGCCCGGTCACTAAGCAGCGGGAGGCTTAGAAGCTGCTTAACCTGTTCGTCCGCAATTCGCCGGACGTTGGCGTATCTTCTGGCTAGGAGGTCCCGAGCAGTCTGGTAGGCGTCGTCCGACAATCTCAAGTGGCCGACGACGCCCACGGCCTCCCCCTGAACGAAGGTCAGCCATTCGGAATGGACCCCGGAGAACTTTGGCAGGTCCAGAGTTGGGAGTAGTCCCAACAGCTCTGGCTGAAAGTGCTTCAGAGAAGACTCGGACAGGTCACTCATCCGAGCTTCACGCGCTTCCTCGGCATACCTGCCTTCAGCCTCGATCAACTCGTCCGTGAGCCACAAGAACTGCTCATAGTCCGCGAAGCAGGAGTCCAGGACTCCCTTCTCCACATCCGAATCCTCGAGCTCAGCGTAAGCCTCCTCCACTGCGGCCCTTCGAGCATCCACCTGCTCGAACTGCTTCATCAAGTTATGGACCCTATCCGGTCGACCTATCAAAGCATGGGCGCTTGTGGCCCAGCGTAGCTCAGTCCGCAAACAACGGATCAGTAGCTTGGGCGATGTCATCACTATTAAATGCAAAATTACGACGCGGCTTGAGCACAGACTACAAAGATAACAAACAAAAAATACAACAAAAATTAACAGTTAATAAATGCAGTTCCTATCAAATCGCGTTGAATAGAAATTACACAAATACGAATTACTACGTATCAACCAAATACAAGTTAGCACAAAAGAAAAGACACAAATCAAATTGACAAATAACAAATACTAGTGCGATCAAATCAAGTTAAATTCAAATTGCGCAAATACAATTACTACTCTTTAGTTCAAATACAAATTACAGTATAAACGAAGATACACATCACGGTCGATCAACAAAAAATGCCTAGCTCGGAAATCGACCCTTCGATAAGTAATCCACTACAACTATCCGGCAACGATAATTAACCGATTACGTAAAAATAACCATCTACCTACATGACGTATATCTCTAGAAAACTCCCGCTTGCGCAACCTAGGGCGCGGCTTTTCAAATCTACCCACTAACCAAAAAAAGGCAAGCAACAAAGAACAAAGGGAAATAATTCTATTATTACGTACAAAAAAAATATTTTTACGTATTACGGACGGGCGTGATTGTAGACACGAATTAAACCAATCAAATCAACGCTCCCTGCCACCAGAATTGTTTAATGTTTATCAAACACTATGGTCGGGATCGACCGGGGAATCGAACCCGGAACCACGCTCTGCTACCAGTTTGTTACGGCCTACGGCTGCTCCCTTACAGGATCGAATCATCAGGGGCCCATGAGCTGAAGACTTCCCGAGCAAACGTAGGTCGGGCTTCAATGTGGCCACGTAGAAATTCCTAATTACATTAAAATATATGGGGGAGCGTTATACTACGGCCAGTCGACCGGAAGGAATTTGGATGAAGCTAACTTACCTATCCAAGGCGACTGGTCCCTCCGGAGTCGGTCAGGTCGCATGTGGTTGTGTAGTGCAAGGGAAAGAATGGTGATGTGGTGTGTATCTGGGTGTGACTGATGGTGATTGAACCTAGACCTTGGCCGTCGGCAGCAGCCCGAGCGTCGACACCGCTCCAACTTGAGGGCGCCTTTCGAGGTTGTCCACAGTCACTTTCTTCTTTCGTCACGTTGACAGTCAATTAACTCTATCGTACGATTTACTAACTTACAGAAGCCACTAACTATCGCTGGGTATAATGGTTACCGCACAAAGTTTTAAAAGGTCGCAAGAGTTTAAAGGGTCAAAGGTCACTACCGTTTCGCGTAGCAATAGTTAATTCTAGAATATCAGAGGCCGCACTATCTAATATTGCCGAATGCACTTATGCAGGTTCTGAGTCAGACACAATAAGTCCCGGGAAGCTCTCCAGTAGGAATGCGCGTCACAAATCCTAGACCGTATATTTACGGGCCGCACCTAATTATTCCGACTTCCCTAACAGAATGGACCGCGTGCTCACGTCAGCACCGATTAAAGACGACTGCCTGCCCTTGGGCGTTTTTCGCACGACCGAAAGTCAAACCGGTATGAATGCACCGCGCCGAGCGCCCTCTCGCGTCAATCCTTGAAAGTGTTTTGCGCGAACAATATATGTTTAAGGGCCACAGCATCCACTTATCATCAGATGGACTGTATGCTCGTTTTTTTTTATATATAAGGATAGGATATAATTTATAGGATAAGGGTGACAAACGAGCACACATTCCACGTGATGGTAAGTGGTTGCTGTGGCCCATAGACATTTACATCTATCCTCGATTACGAATCAAACTGCAGATGCGTTGTCACCCGTGAGGACTAAGGCGTAATGCCTCGTTAGCAGTAAAAAGGGTCTCCGGTTCTCTACATTCACCACACGGAACACAGCAGTGTTAAGCTGCTATTTAACGCTGGTATTCTGTGAGAGCGTTGTCCTTCCTCGGTCAAGCCGACTCATTCGTGCTAGTATAGTTGTCTATACCTACTACTAATATAGCTGTAGAATGGTTCTACCACGTAAGAAATGTCGTTTGTCAACCTATTCTATAAAAAAAGTTTAATTATATCGTAATTGTCACTCAAAGTGGCCAAATCGTTGTACGTTGATCACATTCACAGTATTAGATATGTACCTTTAACGCTGTTAAAATAAAATTAAAAATCCACAGCCGCCTCCCCCATATAAAAAAAATTAAATAAACAAAGAAATACGTTTATTTGGTACATACCGTGTAGTGGCGGTGTAAGAAGGCGGTGCGATATGGGCTAATGAATGCATTAGCCCATAACACACCCAGGGTGTCGTAAGAGGCAACAGCGCGAAAATAAAACAGGAGACGGGCAGCAGCATCTTTCAGTTAAGAACTTAAAATAATTTTAAAAAACTGCAGTAACCAACCCGCTTGCCAATCGTGGCAACTATGGCAAAATCTCCCGTGAGGGAGGCCTGTGTTCAGCAGCGGACTTTTGTATATTGTAATAGTTTTTGAGTTATTCTTTTTTTTTTTTTGAGTAAATCCAGTTGTACAAAATTTTTAATTTTAAATTATTATTAAAACTACTTTTGCTTTTGTGAATATACATTAAACTAACAATATATTAGATAATTACAATAAATTAGCTTGAATTATACACCCTCACACAAGAACTCACCTCACACCTTCCCGGTCTTCTAGCTTTAGTATACTCTCCAGGAACTCTGCTATTTCTATATCGTGAAGTGTTCCCTTGTTTAATTCCTTTGAAAAGTTTACTGTGTCCAATATTATTGCACCTGAAAAAGTTATAATCATAAAATCCACATCTATGTCGCAGCCAACTAGCATAATTAGTATTTCAGTTAACATCCTAGTTCAGGGATCACCAATTAGTTTAATTGTGGGTACATATAAAAAAAAATTAAATTTGACTCGGTCCGTTTGCTAGATGATGACTAACAACCGAGATTTATTCAGATTTACTATATATACACCAAGTGTATCTTTAATTAAAAAAAAAAACGGATTTCCTTTCGTTGTATTTCTTAATTGACATTTTAAATCTGAGTAACCAATATTAAAGCAAAAAATTAATTTTTTTAATCTGAACAATGTCTGCAGTCTGTAGTTAAGTTGGTGCAACCTATTGCCATTCTTTACCATTGATTACCACACACTGATTTTATCCAGAATTCTTCCCAATTTTTGTATTTTAAAACAGAGAAAAATTGAATTACCACAAATTATTAAATTGATATTTATACATTCTTTTGGGCCCGCACAAAACAGGTCGGCGGTATGGATGCAGACCGTGGTTCACCATTTGGTGACCCCTGGCCTGGTTTAACAAAATGTGTGTGCCTAATTATAATCTATGTGCTATATTACACAAATGTACGCGGATTTAGAGTGGCCCAATGGCCACCCCAGTTACATCGTAACCTACTGTCTGTGATAAGAATGTGCAATGTTGTATAAGACGCACCGACTGAATATCATTCAGGCCGCTAGTTGAACGGTGCCGTTTAGCAAAAAAGGCTGAAAGGTTAAACAAGATATATGTGGTAGAGCCTCGCTGCAGTTATATTAGTAGTATAGTTGTAACACAAATCCGTCGGCTCGACTGGACCACGCTCTCACAGAATACCAGCGTAAAATAGCAGCTTCACACTACTGTTTCGTATGGTGAGTGTACAGAATCGGAGACCCTTTTTACTGGAAAAGAGGCATTCCGTCATAGTCCTCACGGGTGACAAATCATCTGCATTTTGATTCTTTATTGGGATAGATGTAGATGTCTATGGGTCACAGCAACCACTTACACACCCGTTACACCACGTCAGTAATCAAGTAGCCACAATGGGAACTGTTCGAACACGATATCAAAGTAAATCGGCTGTGCATGGTTAGACATTTGTTAATTTATTTTCTACAGTCAGATGTTTTTTTTTTCCGAAGAGAAAACTTCTTTAAAATCGTTGTGATTTTAAACTCAATGAAATGTAAAAGCGACACTAAAAAAGAGACAAACATACAACATATATAGAATTAAGCATGCAAGTGTTTGAGATAGAATATTACATTAAATAAGTCGTATTTATTCTATTATATATTGATATTTAGAAAAACTGTCAATCTTTGATAGATAAAATGACATCACCTGTAGAAATAAGTAGATGGCGCTTTTACAAATCAATTTTAATAGAAAGTGGGTTGGCAACTTCAGTTTTATAGGAAGACACTGTTGCCCATCTAGTTTGTTTCCCTCTGTCATCCCTTACGACACCCACGGGATGATATAGGGTAGTGGATATTCTTACACCGCCACTACACGTTAATGCTGCTGATAAGTGGTGATTAAACACTAGATAGTAAATTGCACTGTTTAAGCACAACGAAAGCCTATTCACTCTTGCCTTGTACTAATTGTATAATTGAGTTATGTACATTAAACTGTAATAATACAGTCAAATTTATAATTTCTTCCTTTTTAGGGTTTCATACCCAAAGATTAAGTCAATGGGACCCTATTACTAAGCCTCCGCTGTCCATCCATCCGTCTGTCTGTAGGCGGGCTGTATCTCATATTTTTTTTATAGGATAGGGTGACAAACGAGCACACAGTTCACCTGATGGTAAGTGGTTGCTGTGGCCCATAGACATATGTGTCTATCCTCGTTTGCGAATCAAAATGCAGATGCGTTGTCACCCGTGAGGACTAAGATGGAATGCCTATTTTCCAGTAAAAAGGGTCTCCGGTTCTCTACACTCACCATACGAAACACAGCAGTGTTAAGCCGCTATTTTACGCTGGTATTCTGTGAGAGCGTGGTCCCTCCCCGGTCAAGCCGACCCATTCGTGCCACAACTATACTACTAATATAGCTGCAGCATGGCTCTACCACGTACAAATCTCATGATCCATAATAGGCAGACAGTTGAAATTTTCACAAAATGTGTATTTCTGTTGCTGCTATAACAACAAATAATAAAAATTAAAGAGGGCTCCCCTAATAGAAACGTGTTCTGCGATGGTACTTGTCCGGCTTTTTTTTAATTTTATTTTTTAAGAAATCTATGTATTATAAATATATGTATTTCCTTACAATGAAGTAGACTGGTGCATGATGGATAAGTAGTAAAGAAATCGAAACTCTTCTCTATCAAGGCACTCAAATCTTTCATCCTCTGAGCCACCAATGTAGCACAAGAGCCCACAGTCTCTATCATACTTCTCGTGTCTTCTTTGTAGTTCCATTCCTTTCTATCAATTGGTCTATGATCTATAATCTCCGTCACATAAGGTGCAAGGAAGTCATACTTCTTACTAAGGATGTGATGGTCCACCAGAATTATATTAGTCTTTGTACTAGATGCCAAAAGATTCCTTATGTCTATGTCATTCCTGTAACCAAAAATATATTTCTAACTAATAATTTTTGGAAAGGTAAAGCGTTCACAAGTCAACTGTTGAACATAGGCCTACAAGAAACAACACAAGACATGGTCCTGAGCCACAATAAACTATATAAGGGTGACAAACGAGCACACACCACCTGATGGGTACTTACCCATCAGGTACATACAATCCTTTTATGTCACCTAAATAATACTGTGCAATAGTGTATATCATTATATGGCTACTAGATAGAATGGAAACTTTGAGAAAGTTCATTCATTAAACCCATCTAAAAGTCTATGTCTGAGCATGGGCCAAGCCCTTAGATTGGCCTCATAGGATACTATTTGTCATAGTTGCCATGATTGGCAGGCAGGTTTTTGTTATTTTGAACGGTTATCAGGAGGATGCCGCTGCCCACCTCCTGTTTCAGTTAGAAGTAGACATTGGACTATTAACTCTCTAATTACGGCGATAATGCATATTTTAGCCTTTTTTTCCAATCGTGCATATTTTGTTTAGTAGCGGGAGTTACGTATAGTGACCTAGGTGACAAAGACGTGCAGGACGCGAGCGCAGTGGCCAAATTTTAAATTTTGTACAATGACATCAATTGATGGTCGTATTAAAATGTGACAAATTTTCGTTCCAATATTTGTAAAAATACTTAATTGTATATTGTCATAAAAACTGTGCATAATTTTAAGAACATTTCACTGTTTTTGTACCGTCTTTTATTAAAATATATAAAAATTCAAGTTTTTTTGATTGCATTGTGCATATTTGCATGCATATTTTGGCACTTTGTTAGTGCATATAATCCGATCTCTAATTATAAGAAATGCATAAAAGAGCTCAAGATTATGTCAACCGGCAACATATTATGAAAGAATGGCCCAGACTTGCTGATAAAATATAATAGATAAAAGCAGATTACTTAGTGGTGTGACAAGGGGCAGCCAGGAAGCCCATTGTAGCAGGCGACAGATTTAGAGAGGTAGCATTTTAGAAATGAAAGTCAGGTCACTGCTTTAAATTTAAAATGATGCTAGTAAAAATCTCAAAAAATCTGAAAACTAGCTACAACTGAATAATTTTGATAAAAATATTACATATATTATAGCATTGAAAGTTCTGAAAATAATATATTAAATCCCTCTTAACTTTCCCTGATTCCATATATGTCAATATGATCTCAAAATATATTCAAATGTATATATTTTGAGATCTATTTGTGTATTAAACTATTGTGTACTAAATTTAGCTTACCTAATTCTCTATTTCGGGCTCAGGCTAATCCCCTCCTATAATTAGATATTTGTACTATATTGTGTTGTCCACAATTGGTGTATTTAGTTGTTTTGTTTTTATCCACATTTTCACCTAAAAACCGCTAACTCTTTTCCCACCACAATACCAAGGGCCATATTGATAAAATAAACAAGTACAGTGGATTTCGGGTATAACGACGATGAAGGGACCACTCTATTTTCGTCGTTATATCCGGAAGTCGTTACAGGCAAAGGTAACAAATTCAATACATTGCAGTTGCTACTCAGTATACCACTTTGTAACTGAACCATAAATTTTACTCCGAGACGTAGACGCTTCTCTACCTACTTAGCTGATATCTATAAACAAAAGGTAAAGGTCTCCACCCTTGCTGACCATCTGTGTGGATGTAAACAAAAGATAAGAAATGTTTGTGAAAGAAAGAAATCTTTGTGTCTTTAACGGCCGACTCCGGTCGCAATATCTGCACGGGATTTCTAGGCATTTGTTACAAATGATTCATTTAAAACAGTTCTTACACCCGAACTCGGCGTTACATCCAAAATCACTATAGCCACATGAACTATGTACTAAAATATGATTTAAATTCAAGGGACTTAGATTTAACGTCGCTATAGGCAAATGATCGCTACAACCAAGGACGTAATAAATGAAATCCACTGTATAAAAAATTCATTGTACTGTTTCATTAATTTTTAAAAATTGTGCAAAGCCTAGACTTACTTCAATCCATTTCAGGCTTTTTTGGCTGTAGTGGGGCCTCGAGTGGCAGAAACCCATGCTACAGCACTGACGTTAGTGAATACAAAGCCTCTAGCCAACTAGCAGTGAACACTACCTCCCATTAAAAATAAACTATAATAATGGAAAACAATACTAAAATAAATGTAACCAACCTAAACACCAAACTGTCTACTCTTATTCCATGATCCTTCAAGCAGTATTCTACTTCTGTCTTCAAGCTAAAGTCTTCTCTATCTACATCCAACACTGGTACAAATATGCTTTCCTTGTACATGCTCTCATCACGATGGCTTTTCGTGCAAACTTTACATTTGATTTGATCGTATTGCCAGCTAAGAAACATTGCATAGACAAGTGCAGTCACTGCGGAGTCTAAATCACAACTTTCATTGCCTAATACAATTGTTAGCTCGGAGTAGTTGCTAGATTTCTGTAACAATTAAAAATAAATATTTGTGATAATCTGAGCTTGGTGAATCTTATTTTTTTATGATTAATTATCCAAGGCTCCGTGGAGCATTGGCTTAGCACAGAACAAGTATTTGTATGGCCTACAAATAATTGTTCCGGGTCTGGATGTTTGTCCTCGTGCAATTTATGTTTGTAAACTGCCTCCATGATACAGGAGAAAATCTTAGTGTGGTGGTAACGTTTAAAAAAAACATTATGTAAATGATATATTACCAATTTATTAGTCGTTCTTTTTAAAAACTCTTCCATTTTATGTAGAATATTTTATTTTACACAGCAATCGTTGACTTTCACATTTTAAAACCGTTTATATTCATTTTAAGATTTTTAATAACATTTATACAATAACATAATATTATAGGTGTAATTAAACATTTTTAGTGTATAACCTTACTTCTACCACATGACAATTTATTTACTAAATGTCACTAAATGTGCTTCTACCAAGGAGGTACCTCCTTGGCTAGTTTATTCTAGGGACATTCCGATTCCGATACTAGTAAATACGAGTAGGTACTCGATACTTTTGATTCGATACCAAGTACTAATAGCATAAAATCAATCTTGCGATACTTACTTGGTATCGAAACAAAAGTAATTGGTATCGAATCAGGTGAGCCAAACCCATCCGACTTCACCCGAGCCGAGACCGAGAGAGAGAGCCGTCAACCGTCATTACACTAAAATTGTCACTGGTCCAGTCCAGTCAGCACTAGTAGGGTTCAGCATTCCACAAGTGATTGTTTACGATTACGTTACGAGTAATTTAAGTTATTGAAGTCATTGGTTTATTGTTCCAATGTTATCATGGCACCACCAAAATGATTAATATGGACATATTTAACCAAAACAAATGAAACAACTGCAAAATATAAACAATATTTTAAGTCGGTGAAATATTGTGGCAATACGTCTAATTTATTCAAGCATTCCAAAACTCATGTAATTACTGTGGATAAAGGCAAATTACAGAAAAAAGCAGATAAAGGGACAAACGAAAGGTAGAATCTTTAACTTTTCACTAATTAATTTCGTTAGGTTAGGCACTTAGGTTAGGTTCATAATAGTTCGTTAGTTCATTGGTTGGAACTATGCGATTTTATCTAAAGTGGCAGGGCATAATAGATCCTTGTGGGGCTTGAAACATTTGCTACTTTAATTTCATTAAAAAAAATATAAATATCAGTAAGTATCGATACATTAGGAGTATTTGTATGAGTAGTATCGAAAAATGATTTGAATACTACTGATATGAGTAGGTATCGATACATTGATGGTATCGGAACATCCCTGGTTCATTATCTGGCTTTTTAATTTTAGTCATAGACACAGACCCTTCTTCTTCTTTATAACTGGCTTTACGGCTCTGGGTTCTAGCCCTTCTGAGCCTGAAGTTACAATGTTCAATTATCCTTCATATTACACTGCTTCACAATATGTTGATGCGTCACATTGTGCAGCGCTTAGGAGATTTTGACGGCAGCATGAGCCAGCAGACAGCTGACAGTTGGCGATGGTATCTCAAGGCGACTAAGCAGACAGACAGACAGACACCTTATCTTGAGAATCACATCACCATCAGAGCACTTGTTTCATCGTTTCCACTAATAGTTCACATTCGGAGACACTTAATACACAAAATCGCACCACTTTTACATATCAAAATCCACTTCAAACCATTATTTAAACAATAATACAGGAGCAGCAAGCCGCCGCCGGTGAAGTTCCCGCCAAAACTCGGCACAGACCCACAGACTAACTAGCACAGACTAATAGGAATGACAACATTTTCCTGATCTTTTAAGGCCATATTATGTGATGTATAGGATCGAGTTCAGTTTATGTGTTTAGTGACATACGATTACTTAATTTTGTTTTTACAATATTCATTTCGCTGAATACTCGTTCTATCTCAGCATTCGAGTGTGACAAAGACAGAATAGATATGGCCAAAGAACTCCGAAAATGGGTTATTATATACATATTCATCAACTTCCGACAGTTGAACATTTATTCTTCCATACAGTATGTAAAATATTCGTCCACTGTACTACTATACGTTCAATTTCATTAGTCTGGCAGCTGAACTCTTGTGCGAGTTCTATTATTGATGTTTTTATAGCTTTTAAAGTTTCTTGTACCAAAATCATATTTATTGTTCGTAGTATCTTTACATTTGTTGGCAACCTTTTCTTGTACAAGTTTAAGTTTTTTTTTTTTATAGGAGAGGGGGCAAACGAGCATGCGGCTCACCTGATGGTAAGTGACTACCGCCGCCCATGAACAACTGCAACACCAGGGGAATCGCAGATGCGTTGCCGGCCTTTTAAAAAGGTGTAGGCTCTTTTCTTGAAGGTCCCTAAGTCGTATCGGTCCGGAAAAATCGCTCGTGGTAATCGATTCCACAAGGAAGTTGTGCGAGGGAGAAAACTTCTTCTGAATCGCACAGTGGTGGACCGCCAATCATCCAGATTATATGGATGGTATCGCGAGTTTTGTCGCGATGTGCGATGGTGAAATTGAGCGGCTTGAATTAGTCCGAACAATTCCTCAGAGCACTCCCCGTGGTAGATGCGAAAAATACGCAAAAAGTTGCAATATCTCTACGCAGTGCCAGTGAGTCAAGCCGATCGGAAAGAACCCGGTCGTTAAAGATTCGAACCGCTCTGCGCTGGATGCGGTCAAGTGGAAGGAGCTGGTACTGGGGAGCCCCTGCCCAGATATGGGAACAGTATTCCATGTGAGGCCGAATCTGCGCCTTGTAAAGTTGCATGCGGTGTGCCCGCATGAAATACTGTCCCGCTCTGCTGAGCACGCCAAGCTTTTTAGAGGCCAATTTGGCCTTCTCTTCCAAGTGACCACGAAACTGCACGTCACTCGATATGTTGACACCGAGGATACCGATACTGGCTGAGGCTACAAGGGGAGTGCCTTGAAACTGAGGAGATAAGACAAAGGGGTTCTTTTTAGCGGTAAACGCGCAAACTTGTGTCTTCTGGGGATTGAACTGGTCTACTAAGTGTACGCTGCTTACAGCGGTGACGCAGGTTACGTTCGGCTTCAGATAAAAGTTCGTATTCAGTCCGCATCTATGGAGGTCTAGATAGCTTTCTAGATTGTAGCTGTCAACACATCTATTCGCACCGTTGGCAGTACGATTCTTCTAGCAACTGATTCAACCAGTTCAACCAAATCATTCAGCAGTTTAATCGCGTCTCGGTCGTTGGTTTCAAAATTATTATTCACCCTTTGTACTTCATCTAACATAGGCAATAAATATAGCAGATACAGATAATTCACAGGATCGTTATACATAGAATAAAGCATTTAAGCCATATAGCAGTTTTCTTTTGTTTGTCAATTTCAGTAAAACATTTGACGGTTGGATGAATGGCTAAACCAATTATATGTTTCTCGGATTAAAAATCAATATTTCTCGGAGGTAACGCATGTGTGATAGCCAAAGAGATTTAAATATATAGGTATACTATAGAGCGGACATTGGGAACATTTATATACAAAAACTTTGAGCTAGTGCGCGTGTGGCACCCTCTAGCTAAAAATAGCAAAACAACGCTAAGCATTTATTAAGACAACATTTTAGCTAGTCCCCAGTAGGTGACGCTAATAAATATAACCTCGTTTTAGGAATGTTACCGTTTCGATTTCAAAGTATCAATAATGTTGTTGAAGATTACTAAGTTTGAAATGCTTTTCGATATAATAATAGGAAATATACATGATTGTTTTATAATTAAAACTGGTACATAAATAGTTAACGTTTACTGGATAACAGAGGGCACTTATTACAATAAAAATAAATGTTCTAGAACAATCTACTAGAAATAATAAAATTTAATGATTATTCGGTAAATATATGTTATATTTACGATAATAAACTGATATCACGTTCACTTTTTGCTCCATATAGTGATTTACTATATCTTAATGTACAACCGGGCATATTTTCTTTAAAAATATTTTTTAAATATATGAAGCTGACCTATACATATATACAGCATACAAATGTTTTAGTAACACAATGTTTTGACATTAGATGGTACTGCTAAAAATTGTTGTATTCAATTGCAAATTGTAAATCTCGATATCATTTACCCTTTGCAAATAGTATAGCTAAGATGCATAATATCTTAACAAAGTACTTTTATCAAGCACTCGGTAATTTTATTATAATCCCAAGGAGTCAATTCGTTATCTGGTTTGGTCATTGTACATGGTCCTTCGAACCGGACGTGTTTTTGAACATTCGCACTAGAAACTAGTGATGGATCGCTACTGAAGGTGCGTACCGGACTTTTCTAGTGAATCGTACCGGTTAAGTGAGTGCAGTGCGGTGTTGTGAGTTTGAAGTGTGCCGGCCACATTCAGTCGAGGAGTACAAAGTAAGAAGTTGGACGTAAAGCATCAGCAGCGATGTCATTAACGTGACGTCACATCCGTTATGTGTAAAGCTATTCGTGCGGAAGGAACAATCTGCATTAGAGCCATCATAACAGTGACGTGAACGACGTCATTGTCTGACTTGAGTGGTTTGAAAGTGAAAATCGTAAGTACATTTTTCTAATTTATCAGTGAAATTTAAAAAGTTGTTAATTTGAAGGATTTCAATAACTTTAAAAATATCAAGAATTTTATTGAAGACTTAGAATAATTAATGATTAATGTACCTATACTTTAATAATTTGTTCATGTTAGTTAGTAACTTGCAATAACTTTTCAAAAAAGATCAAACGGGGAACCTATGCCCAATTTTATGTAACTTCCTCTATTCTCGTAAATACTTGTAAAATTTTGTGAACAAAAAACTTTTCTTTAGATATTCTACCAAAATGTCGTTGACAGCCCTAATAAAGAGTCAGCTATGATATAAAAGCGTTTTATGAATCAACAAAGCATTGGTAGCGAGTCACGTAATATAATTAAAAACATATTAGACGTTACCAATGACACGTTACATGGTTTGAAAAATTTGGGAATAAATGCAGATTCATGGGATACAATTTTTGTATACGTAATTGGTTCAAAATTGGATTCAGAGTCCCGAAAATGTTAAGCACTTCAGAAGAACTGCCAACGTTGAACCAATTAAGAGAATTTCTGGAAACCCGATTTCGGTCACTTGAGTTCATGGATCCTAAACAAAGTAGCAAACCAAATGTTTCAAACCAAATACCTAAGGTAATACACCCCATGGCAACTATCTCTAATACTGCAGCCAAACTTAACTG